GTGAGTCGGCACACTTGGAGAGATCGTCCTCACCGTGCATGGCGTCCACAAGGACGAGCTGACACATCGGACGACGATGCCAGGTCGGCCGATGCCAACGAAGACGACAGGGCCAGTCACTTGGAGCTGCGTCAGCACTTGTTGTCATATTCCTTTCAAAGTCTACCACCGACAGTGAACTTGCTGGGCGCCCCTTACCATGTCGAACAAACGAACTGGGAGTCGTCAAGGCAGGTACCGACCGCGCTGTCGGGCGGGAAGGAGCACCTGCTTGTCCACGACTCGGACGAGAACTCCATGGAGCACGAGCTAGATGTAGCAGACCCTTGGACGGCCGCCCATTGTCTGCAAAACACTACTGCTGCTTGAACCCACCAGTAGGATCCCTGGCATATGAAGTTGTCATGGAAAAGATGGAGAGCTGCATGCAACGATGAAAGACATCGAACTACTTGATAAAATGTAGCTGAACACTCTAGACTGAGTCGCTGACGCACTACGGTTGGCTTGGCTTGCTCTGTCGACGAAGAAGGCGGCTTTACAACGTTTGAATCCAGGCCGCCAAGGGCTCGACGTCCCGCGCATACATGGCAGCTTTGGTGCGGATATTCTCGAGAACCGTGGCCAGGGGACGGGCAAACGCGCCTTGGGGTCGGCCGACGAGGAACGCTTCCACCGCGCTCGCATCCGATTCCGTTTGGAAGCTCGCAATCGACGCGCACAAGATGCGGCCGACGACGACTTGCGAGTACTTGGCGGAGAGGGCATCCCATTGCGCCTGCACGTACTCCCACGCGACGGTCGATCCGTCCGCCGACACACTGCCAAACACGTACTGGATGTCTTGGCTGCGGACGTTCGCGACGGCCCACTCGAGGGCACGCGACTTCAACGCGTGCGACGAGAATCGCCCGAGCGCACCGAGGACGTCGAGCTTTTCTTCGATGAAGTTGCTAGTTTCATAAACATGTTGCAAGTGCGAAAAGGCGGCGTCCGAGTCGGGCGCCGTGCGGACGTGGATGCTGTACACGATCGAGCGCAGATCGGCCGACAGCGACGACGGCGACGCAAGAGACGCGTGGAACCGAGTCGAGGCTTCGGCCGCGACGGCCGGATCCTTGGCCGCCGCCAGCATCGCAATCACGTCGCGGCGGAAGTTGGTCGTCAAGTCATTGTCGGTCGGGAGAGCATTCCACGTCAACTGGGCCATCACGTTCGAGTACAGCCGTTGAATGTATGCTTGGAAGGCAGGAAACCACGTTTCGTGCTTGAACAAGCGCAAGTACACGGCCAAGTTCTCCGACAGTTCCTTCCACACCAAGTACTCGGGCTCGGCGGCGTACGCTTGAGAAAACTGGAGCGCGTCCGTGGTCGCGACAAGGCCAGCGCGGGCGAGCACAAAAATGCTGTGGAGGAGGGACACACGATCGACGGTGTCCAGCTCAAGCTGTGCGACGGGGGTTTCGAGGGCCGTCCAGAGCTCCGAGGGGTAGTTGACGAGGTAAAATCCCGTTTGGGAAGCGTTGACCTTGACCCAGGGGGCTACAGGTCGTGACAAGGTCAGCGGGGAGTTTGATACGCGCCGCTACACAATGACGTACCATCGCCAATGTCCAAACGAATGGATGGCTGGGACGCCACCCAGATTCCGGCGTTGTGGACACCAGCCGACGGCGTGATGTACGTCAGAGGGACGTCCCACTTGCTCACGGTGTCCTCGGCCCCGTTGGCCAAGAAGCGCTGTTGGGTCAGGGAGATGGTCGGTCCATCCTTCGTCACGGTGACGACAGGGAATCCCATTTGCGTCGTCCAGGTGTGCGCCATCGCGGTAATGTTCAAACCTATCCAAGACGACTCCAGTGACGCTCTTCTTCGCACGAGCAAGGAACATGCTTCGCGTACCGGACGCCGCCTCCAGCGCCTGCCACAAGTCGACCGTCTTGGCATTGCCGTACGCGAACTTGGTCAGGTAGTTGTGCATGCCAACGTAAAATTTGTCGACCCCGATAAAGTTGGCCAACATGCGAATCACCGACGCCCCCTTGGCATACGAGATCACGTCGAAGATCTGGTCCACTTCGTCGGGATGGTGCACGATGACTTCGATCGGGTGCGAGCTCTCCATCGCGTCCTTCTGCATAGCCGTGGCCATCGTGATGTCTTGGACGAAGCTTCCCCAGACGTTCCATTCGGGGAAGATATCGTGCACCGCCTCGAATTCTAGGAATCGAGCAAAACCTTCCTTCAGCCACAACTCCGTCCACCATTCCATCGTAACCAGGTTGCCAAACCTGGCACATGTAGCCGTCAGTTAACCCATCGAGGTCATGATGCCATTCCAGACGCTCGAAACGTACCATTGATGCGCCAACTCGTGGCACACCGTCCGCGCCGTCGCAGTCTTCTGCGCCAAGCTGCTCGCTTGGTCGTCAATCAGCAAGCGCATCTCGCGGTACGTGACGACGCCCCAGTTCTCCATCGCGCCTGTGTTGAAAATGTGAGCGACCGCATCCAAGTCCTGCTGACAGTTCAAACGATGGAAGAGTTCTAATACCGCCGTTGAAATCGGGGATCGCCATCATGTCGAGCTTGGCAAGCGGGTAAGGAATCCCAAACTTCTCCGTGAAGAAGCTCAAGCACTGCGTCGCCACGCGCAGGGCAAACTTGCCCCGGTCCGACCGACCCACGGGGGTGTACACCCGGACGACGACCCCTTCCTTCGTAAAGCCCGAGACAAAGTCGAACTCGCCAACCACCATCCCCAACAAGTACGTGCTCATGACCGGCGTCTCGTCAAATTGCCACACCTTCTCCAAGCGCTTCGGGTTTGACTTGGACGGACGGACGAGCGTCGACAGCACCGGCGTGTTCGAGATGGCTTCGCGGTCCACAGGAGTCACCTACCAACCTCTTCGTCACACACACCAGACGCCGCCACGATTCAACAAGGGAGATCGAACCATCGACAGCTGAAACGAAGCCTTGATCGCGGGCTCGTCCCAGCACACGAGCGCTCGACGCGCGTCGCACGCTTCGAACTGCGTCACGGCCATCGTGCGCAACTCGCCGTCTTGCGTGTACTGGCTTCGATAGAACCCCTTGAGCTTGTCGTTCAAGATTCCGTGGAACTGCAACGACAACGTCGCCTTGGAGCCCGCCGGAATCGTCAACGGAAACACAAACGTGACCGCTTCGTCCTTGGTGATGTACCGCACTTCGTCCGCCGCAACGACTGTGCCCGGACTGTCGTCGTGGTGGATCGCCAGCGACACCGAATGCACCCACAGTTCGACCGCGTGGCACGTGATCGTGGACGTGGCTTCAACGATGGAAACGTCGACGCGCTCCGTGCCTTCAAAGCGAAAGCGGTCTAGGTCAATCACGTCGTAGTCGACCGTGTACTACGCAAGGCACACCTCCACCGTCACGGCACCACACTCTACATAGAACACATCCAGGACTACCTTGATGGGCTTGACAGTCGTCGGCAGCCGCGCAAACGCTTTCTTCGTGCTTCCAT